AGCGACAGTGGAGAGGAAAATCTCCCTTTTAACAGGAAGAAACCTCCATTAGAACCAGACTCAGTGTGAGCGGCCATCTGCCTATTTTAAAGGCAGGGTCAGACACCAGCTTTGGTTCTCCTTTAATAAGCCGTTTCTAATATTCTGGCCGACTCTAGTTTAAATATTTTTCTGCATCAAACTGTTCTTACTAAACAGGCTTCAATTTATCACTTTAATTTCATTTTTGAATAAACTATTTCATACATTTCCTTGATAAAAGCAGCGTCACGGTTTTCTGTTTCAATCAAATCTGAATTTTCTGTTTTTCTTTTCTATAGGTTTAATGCCTCTTTCTTGGTGTCAACAGTTCAGGTTGTTTTTTCTAAACCTTCATCCTGAAGGAATCTTTTTCTAACAGGTTTGTTCTCTGAAGATGTTGAAACAGGAAGACATCTTCAGAGATCCTGCTGCAGCTCAGTGACCTCTATCCCTGAACTGATGGAAGGACAGGCCTGCTGTCTGGCAGCCATTTTTATGCTACGTTCACACCGGATGCGCTTCAATTATATTTTAACCCTGAAATAAAATTAGGTTTTTATGCATCCATGTTATACAGTGACCTTTTAAATAAAAAAAATAGAAAATTTTTTCCATTTTAAAATCTAAAGTGTTTTTTGAATACAGGAGTATCTCCTGTATCTCTCCATACAGGAGTGTTTCTAACTGACTGACTCACTAAACTGTGTTAAAATGTATCTGTCAACATGATGCATCTGCTAAAAAAATGTCTCATCTTTTGCAGTTTATCATTAAAATGATCCAGAATTTTGGAGCAGCCTAAAAGCAATAGAAATGTTTCGGCTGTTTAGTTTGTTTACTGTTTTTACTGTAGTTATTGTTTTAAAAATATGATTTAAAATCCTAATCCACATGCATCCTCATTCACATTTTCCCCTGACTTTTCACATTATTTTGGGCTATATTTTTATATTATTTATTGGCTGCATCCAAAAATGTCAAAGATATCTTCAATTTAAACATAGATATGAAATAACAAAATATAACCTCTAGTAATTTAAATGATATCGTTGTACTAGGTCATCAAATCAATTAAGTTTAGTCTGTCAAACAAGCTGCCTGTAGTGCCTTTAAATGTCCAGCAGGTGTCAGTATTCTGTCAGATCAATACAAATTGGCAATGTGTGGAAATGCTTCAAAATGCCTCATTAACCCATCAGTAGGCTATTATTTTAAGGCATGATCTTAATCTGGATAAACTGGTGGACTTCCTCACATACAAATATATTAAAACTTATTTTTATCCACTGATCACAGCAAATATAGCAAAGCTGCTCTCTGCTCTTGAACACAGGAGCAGCAGAAGCATCAGACGCATCAGGACACACTCTACTGGACGTGCTTCAGGAGCATCACACGTCTACAGGCATCAAAAATGAAGCAGCAGAAGCTTTTTAGCTCCTAAAATCGTATTTGGTTTGAACGTAGCTCCTTCTCAGGATGAAAAATGCCTCTGGTTCAGTCCTGGTGCAGTGTATGGAATCAGAAAGGGGTCAAAATGTTGGTGAAGTTATAAATCTTAGCTGAAAGTGAAAAAAACAGAAGCTCATATCTATTGTCAAATTTTTTTATAATGTGAGGAAAAAAGCAAACATAAAATTAGAATATAATCTAAATTCAGTTTAGTATTTTAATTACACTTTTTCTTTTTTTCCCTCTCTTTATTGCAGTCTTAGATTTTATTTTT